TCAGCCAAAATATATAATACACTGCTTATTCTTTCCAAGGGACTGACACATACAATTCTGGCGTTTTGTATCGCCAAGCCTTCTGTAAATTGCTCTGCGTTGAAATAACCAATATCCTCGTGAAAGTTTCCATTCTCAAGCTGGATCTTAACGTAACTGACGCAGCCAGCACAGTATTTACTTCGAGTATTTATCTCACGGTCAATTACATCGTCGAAATCTGCATCGTCGTAATCTGCATCGCCGAAATCTACATCGTCAAAATCTACGTTGTCGAGATCTATATCGTTAAAATCTGTAAAAATTTGCGAACTTATTTTTATACACCAGACTATTAACACTTATAAGAATTTATGCAGCTAATGACAAATATACCTAAGGATTGACGGACTACAGTATGATTCCACTTGCCCTCTCCAAAAACTTTATTGGCCACTGAGATTAAATCATGAAAATTTATTGCAAAATCCATCGGTTCTGCGGCAGCGAACGTGTTGACTGAAACATTTAATTTTTCTGAAATCTGCTTACCCAATAACTGTATCACATCTCTTTGTATTATAGTTACCTTGTTCAGAACCAATCTGTCTTCGTGGTCGTTGCAGCTCTCTTTCCACTTTATCTCCAAACGACAAAAGAACTCTTTTCAAGGCATTTACAGCAGAACCCTGGGCAAACAAAAATGTCTTAATCGTTCAGCCAAAATATATAATGCACTGCTTATTCTTCCCAAGAAACTGACACATACAATTCTGACGTTTTTAAATGACAAGCCTTCTTTTAATGCCTCTGCGTCGAAATAACCAACATCTTCATGAAAGTTTCCACTTTCAAGCTGGACCTTAACAAAACTGACGCAGCCAGTACGATAAATACGTGAAGCACCGATTTTTATTTCATCATCGAAATCTATAATAAATACGCGACCTTATATTTATAAACCTATTAACACTTATGAGAATTTCTTCAGCTAGTGAGAGATTTACTTAGAGTTTGGCTGACCACAGTATGATTCCACTTGCCCTCTCCAAAAACTTTGTTGGCCGCTGAGATTAAATCAAAGAAATCCGTTACTAAATCCATCGGTTCTGCGGCAGCGAACGTCTTGACTGAAACATTTGATTTTTCTGACATCTGCTTACCCAATGACTGTATCACATCTCTTTGTATTATAGTTACCTTGTTCAGAACTAATCTGTCTTTGCAGTTGTTGCAGCTCTCTTTCAATTTTGTCTCCAAACGACAAAAGAACACTTTTTAAGGCATTTACAGCAGAACCCTGCGCAAACAAAAATGTCTTAATTGTTCAACCAAAATGTAGAATATACTGCTCATTGTTTCTAAGTGAGAGACGCATACAATTATGGCGTTTTGTATCGACAAGCCTTCTGTTAATTCCTCTGCGTTATAATAACCAATATCCTCGTGAAAGTTTCCATTCTCAAGCTCGACCTTAACAGAACTGACGCAACCAGTGCGATATTTATCTTGAGCATCTATAGCAGCATATTTTATGTCATTTTTCATGTCAGTGAAATCTATAACAAATTCGCAAGCTCATTTTTATAGACCTGACTATTATGAACACTTATGAAAATTTCTTCAGGTAATAACAAATATACCTAATGTTTGTTTGACAACAGTATGACTCCAGTTGCCTTCTCCAAAAACTTTATTGGCCGCTGAGATTAAATCAAGAAAATTCGTTGTTAAATCCATCGGTTCCGCAGCAGCGAACGTGTTGACTGAAACATTTAACTTTTCTGAAATCTGCTTACCCCCAATAACTGTATCACATCTCTTTGTATTATAGTTACTTTGTTCAGAACCAATCTGTCTTCGTAGTTGTTTCAGCTCTCTTTCCACTTTGTCTCCAAACGACAGGAGAACTCTTTTTAAGGCATTTACAGCAGAGCCCTGTGCAAACAAAAATGTCTTACTCATTCAACCAAACTATAAAATGCATTGCTTATTCTTCCAAAGTAACTGACGCATACAATTCTAACTGTTTGTATCGACAAGCCTTTTGTAGATTCCTCTGCAATGTAAAAACCATCGTTTTTGTAACAGTTTCCATTCTCAAGGTGGATCTTGATGTAACTGAAGCACATAACACGGTATTTATTTCGAGCATTTATCTCATCGTCGTAATATTCATCATCGGAATCTACTTCGTCGGAATCTACATCGTCAAAATCTGCAACAAATTCGAGAGTTTATTTCTTATTTCTATATATATATAAACCTGACTAATCATATTTATAATAATTTATTCAGCATGACGCAGATATACCTAATGTTTGATTGACAACAGTATGACTCCATTTGCCTTCTCCGAAAACTTTATTGGCCACTGAGATTAAATTACGACGTTCTTCTGACAATGAGATTAATTCAGGATGTTCCATTGCCGAACAACAGGGTACTGCCTTCTCGGGTTTGTGCGCATTCTCCGCCATAGCTTGTTTTGTAGCGAACTGAAAGGTGAAAACATCCATATCTTTACATCACCTTTGCATGGGGCTGAGAGATAGATTACTTTCCATTTTACGCTAAAAAACTACAAAAGCCAAGATCTGTGAGATTACACACAGAGATTCTGATAAACGACAAATAATTATGCCAAAAACGAATCAATCGATCACAGTCGAAAGATCTCGGTAAAGAGAACGCCACCATGAAACCTGAAGGCTCGAAAAAAACAATCACAGCTGACAAAAATCGACTACTCTTATTCTTATTACGCTGAACCATTATGTAAGTATTATATATTATGCACCGAACGTGGCATTTTTTACATTAGAAAGTTTGGTTGACCAATTCCTTTGTATTCTTTTACAAGAATTTATCTGAATAAGCAAGTATTAAATTCAATAGCGTTCATTGCTCCTTTTTTTAGATGCTTGTAATATAGTTGTAATGTAATGAGAAATGTATCTGACACAATATCGATGCTTAGAATTAAAAAAAGATAAGTCAAAGAGGAAGTTAAACCCAGATACAAAATCTATATTGGTAAAAATGGACTTAAGATATATAAGAAACTATTCTGTGAACGTTCAAAGATATAGTTACGTGTTTTTCTATATATTTGCACAAAGTACGTAATGATGTTAATGTTTACAGAATAGGCCCCTTAGTTTTGCACTAGACTAAGGCGACTCATAATTCAATTATCTGATCATTCGATATTTCACAAGTTTTCATGAAATGATATATTTCAATGTTTTAAAACGTAAATAAAAATCGAGAAAAACATCTAACATCTTACATCTTTATCGCAATAATTTATAATTTATACTTCGCAACTGAATATATTATTAATTTTGCATATATGCATAAAAAAAACGCTATCACGAAGAATTTTCTGTTTCTTACTGAACTTTTCACGTGTGACGAACGTTCGAGATTAACTACAATTCCTCGATTTTACGATCGTCTTTTGAAATGCGTTTGTGGAGCATTCTGTCCTTGTTTTACATCTAATGAACAACAAAGATAAAAGAGAGGATAGAAATAAAACAATGCAATATAGCGTTAATAGCGCGCTCGCGAAAACACCCTTTACGGGCAGTATGATTCGGTATAATTATTAAGATTTGGGAAACCAAGCGAGATGTCCTCTTTTTTTATTTGCCTCATGTTTATCCATGGAACAATCATCGACAACCATCGTCGTCAGGATCGAACGTAAAAATATGACGAACAGAATCACGCGTTAGAACTTCCCAGGAATTATACCGCACCGCCATATTTACCTTGTAATTCTTCGCACCAGCTCGTGCCGACTATTTTCACGATCTACGCGATCTAAACTAGCTCCTTCCTTCCTTTTTGGTTATTGACTCCTGCCTCTTTACAGAAAATACGGCTAAAAAAATTTATAGTTAACAGAGTTAGCTCGAGACACGTGAGCGTTCAAAATCGAGAAACGGTACATCGATGACTCGTGTACGTATGTACAAATAGCTCACTGGTAGTCTTTATCGCGTTTAGGGAAACGCGCGTACGATCGACGACCACGCGGATCGATGGACGCTGTGGCGATGGATATTTTTCGACTCGACGTCGCGCTCGATGTCCGTTTCTGGGTTCAACGTGTCGCGAAAAACGGCGAAATGTGAGGAGAAGGTTATCACACGCAATGAGATCGCAACCACGATGAAACCACACGATAAATGCAATTCGAAATGACCAATCGGCACACGGTGTTCTCCCGCAACAAATATCCCTCTCAGCTCTCATGTAGCGAGTAGCGAGTGCAGAGTAGCCTGCACTAGTCACACGTAGCAACCATTCTCTGCACCTGAACTCACTGTACTAGTTCAGAGTTTATCTCTTTTTACTCCACATTGGTGCCATTGGTGGGAAAAAGATAATCTCTGAACTAGTGCAGTCAGTTCAGGTGCAGAGAGCAAACCCCAGGCCTCATCTGTTCGTTGTTTTTCGAAAAACTTCCCGAAGTACACACGTACACAGTGGTGGGGCTAAAGAGAGTGAACAAAATATACTTATCGCACTTTAATTTAACTGTGGGCATCAGTTCTGGAAGTTCTTCGAAAAGGAATAAGCTTAGTAGATCCGAAACCGAAATCTGTTTACCGATGTTCACATGACAGAAATTGATTAAACAACGTAATGATGATCTCCAGATACCTTTGGCTATCGCTGTTATTGATGATCGTGTACTTCTTATATTCGCGCGGCTTTATCGAGGAGATCAAGTCCCACTTGACGGAAAGAACGTTAAATATAGCTGACACGATATATTTCGGATTAAATGAAAATTCTGGCGGACCAAAGGTGTTCACTATGAACGAATTGAAGCGACATACGAATCTGGAGAATGGCTTGTATCTCTCGATCTTGGGCCAAGTCTTTGATGTAACGAAAGGGGAAAAGCATTACGGACCTGGAGGAACTTATCACGCCTTCACTGGTAATTGAATCTAATAAAGATGCCAAAAGACAGTCAGCATGCGTCAATATATGTATGTGTAATTTATTTGTTTGTAGGCCGTGATGCTTCCTTAGCATTTATTACTGGAGAATTTGACGATCAAGGTTTAACGGACGACATATCAAGTTTATCGCAGCGACAAGTCAAGGCATTGGACGATTGGCTACAATTTTATAACGCAAACTACATCTACAAAGGTACAATTACTTAAAACTGCCATGGGACACGTAGAAGCAGTTGATCCATCTCAGAACTTTATCCTAAAAGCCAAAATGATTTTGTGTTATCTTGTCGATCTGCTTAGCAAGGATAAGGAAAGGTACACTTCTATTCTAATTTTTACTGTAAAAGAAACATTTTATGTTTTTGTGTGATCTGTAGATAATGTATGAGATGGATCAACTCGCATGTGACGCTTTCTAAAATATTTCGTATTTTCTTCAGGAAAATTATATGGTAGATACTATAATCAAGATGGTAGCCCGACTGCAGAATTTCGCAAGGTACAAGAAAAGCTATTGCTTGCTAAAAGGGAGAAAGCAATGGAGGAGAAACAGGAAAGGATGTTTCCACTTTGTAATATAGAATGGAATCGGGATACTGGTACTGTGTTCTGGTGTACTGAAAAAAGGTAGGAAATTATTCAACGATTATTCATATTAGCAGATTTAACATCAAAGAAAAATTAGGGAAATACGATAAATCAATTTTCTAATATACATTTATATGATTCCTTTCTGTTTAACAGCGGTGGGATTGAAAGAGATTGGACGGGTGTACCAAGAATATTGTTCGAGACTGCAGGCGCGCAGGGCTCATCGTCTAGGTGTGCTTGCGTTAACCTGGATAGTAAGGAATACGAAGATAATAAAGCTAGATTGAGCGAATACGATGGCTGCGAGAAATACGCGACAAAATGCGTTTTGAGGAATAAGACATGACATGAGAAAGTATTATGCAGTGTCTTTATCTGCAGAATTTCAGATATATTCATATTTTATATTTTATATAATATCACAATGCGAAAATACATAGATTTAAGTTATTAACTTTATATAATTTTGTATTCATTACGGTTAACGCCTTTTATGAAAGTACAGATAAATACAATATTTTGTATAAAACTCAGTGATACTAGCGCTAATATTAAAATAGATAAAATTTTTAAGTTTTATTTATTTTAATACATAAAGACAATATGATATATGTATATAATGGAACATATGATATTAAAAAAAAAAAAGATTTTATTCCTGAAAGAATGAAGTTTTGTACTTAAATCTTCAAATGATCAGTCTTTTTGTTTCTATTCTTAATGTTGAAAACGTGATTTTTTTGGACACACATTACACATAAAAGAGCTTAATATATTTATGAAAATGTTTGTTTCCATTGTTACTTAATAATATATATATATATATATATAAATTTTGAATTGAACCTGAATTACAAATGCAATATGTGGTACGAACTATATTGAAGGCTCCTATCTCCTCATTACTAGATTGAATTACATAAAAAATCAAAAATAACAGATACTAATTCTTTTTTAAGTGTTAAATTATTCTTTTTTTTATGCCACAATTCAAGTTTACAGCTGCAGTGAGGAAGTAGGAGCTCTAAAGGACTAAAAGATACATTATTGCTCCTTATAATATGACATGTATATTGCTCTTAATAATATAAGCGAAATCTCAAACATGCTCAAATAGAAATACGTTCACACATCATTTATGGTCCTTATACGCTTGTGTTGATGTATTTCAGAACATGTAAATCGATGTTGCGAGAATCGAGTAAAATGCCTGTAGAATTCCATATGGTATAACATTATAATAGATGAAAATGCAGATTTCTCCATCTAAATATTATTACAAAACGATTTCTTGATTCCTTTTGAATGCTTCAAACGCAATCTTTTTTATATTCTCACATGTGCAAGAAATATAGAAGCAAACGGTTCACGAAATCCTGAAGTAGTGTGTATTATCCTTCAGAGATCTTAGAAAAATGGCGTTGACATTTAAACATGTCACGGAAGAATCTGGTATCATTTGAGTTCATTATCGATTTTCATTGGTGAGCTCTCTCTGATAGTATTTAACTTATCTACAAGAGCCTGCATCGAACCACGTCTCGTATACCTGATCTTAGATCCGAAGACTCTCTGTATCTTCGCGCGTCTCTTCTTCAGCTTGGAAGCTGTAGGGGAGAACATCAACATTCTCTTAAATCTCTTTGCACTCATACGTATCGCAGTATCATCGCTTGCATTGTCGTTTTCTTCGTATATCGTTTCGAGATTATTTGACTTCTTATTTAAGTTTCTGTCCAAATAATACTCCTTGATGGTCTCTTCCTGTGCCTCCACTTCAGAGATCCTCCTCTTTTTTGGTCTGAGGCTACACCTTATTGATACACAAGGTATTATGAGAAACACATGTGAAAGCTTATCACAGTCTGATATAAAATTATATCCGTTACCTTCGATTAAGGATTTCTGTAGAAACAGGCTTTGGCATCCTTTTCCTAAGAACCCTCTTAGTTTCTGTAGGCGGAGGATTAGTGTCTATGGTAAGCATCTCTAAGTCAGCTGTTATCACAGGTACATTAGTATTGTCTAAACGGTCAATAGAGATTCTGAAAAATAGAACGGTCTCATACTTAAAAAAATAATCTTACATCTTAATATTTGCAGGTAAATTGGAACGGAGCGATAATCTTTACAATAATCAAGTAAAAAGAATTACAAATCGGGAAAGGAAAACAGAATCATAAAAATTTACTCCTGCGAAATTTTCGAGGCGGAGTCTCCCTCTCAAACTTACGGATTTTCTGTCTGCTTCTCATCCATTTGGAGCGTTACAGAAATCTTGTAAAATGCTTATTATCAAAGGGTATTAAATTTCTCGATGTCTTCCGATGAATCCTGTTTACTCATCAGAAACACTCTGCGTCTTCCATTCTCAAGTAAAGTACGCAATAGAAAATAACAAGACGAGGTTGACGCAGGTTGACGTCCGTAAAATTTGTAGAAAATACGTGTATGAAGAAGGTACTCTCTCTTTCTCACATGATAATCATGGAACGCATGATAGAACGCGAAAGTCGCAATGTCAAAAGAGAGACCATCATTTTTCTACCGATTAAGTGGCACTGTACCCTTCTTTCTCGCGTGTTCCCTTTATCTTCGCTCAAGAAAGGGAAAAAAGATACAGGCAAGGTTTGTTCTTTTCAAGCTGCATCTGATTTCTCGTATGTACTATTCAGCTTTTCTCTTTCCCTCTCCTGCCTGAAGGTGTGAGTACTGTGAATTGATTCATTTTCGAGTGCGGAAAGTGCAACGGAGTGCAGGTACAAAGAGCCAGACTTGTATAATGTATTATACAGAAGGTATCACTCGAAGTTGATTTCTTTCGATCAGATCCATCGCATCTAGATATATATCCGTATATTATGGACTATATTTACACACAAAGCTGCAATTCAAAATCCGATTAATAAAAATTACTGTATGTATTATCTTTATCTGATCCAAAAAATTTTGCTTCTTTTAGTCATAATGATTATTTATAAATATCAGCCTCTTTTGATACTTAAACTTTTACAATTTGTATTGTATTATAACATCAAAATAAATTGATTCAAGTGTTTATACCTATAGGCTCATATTTAATGATTATTAGTCATAGTACTATTAGAAAATTAAAAGATTGGGGTGATTTTTACACCCCAATTAAAAGTCATTATTAATTACGTACGTATTGCATATATTTTTTACTTTTCTATAATTTATTAATAAGTATTTGTTGTATCTGAGGACAATATATGTAAGTATGTATATAGATTTACTCAAAATTTTCTGAAAAAATGTAATAAGAAATCATGAATTCACACGAATGGCATTCTCCCTCTGCTGCTTATCGCGGGGCTACATCTTTTCCCGCATCGATAACGAGTTTTCATCAGCGGCCTGCCTTGCCGATCGCATCGCAGGCTGATAGGTTATGTCAGAGCACGGACGGCAAGCTCGTCGCGCGATTTGTTTGTCGCGCAGCCCCCCGAGAAAGTATGGCGATGTGGGAGAGCGACAAGTTCCAAGAGGACGACAACGCGGATGGTATCGGGGGCAATTTCGACAATATCCTCGTGACGCACGATCTGCAGGATTGCCTGGACGACACCTCCCTGGACCTGTCCAGCTTCGAGAAGGTCTACGAACAGAGCGCGGTGTTCGATTACGGGAAGTACTCCGACGACGATGCTGCTATCAACGAGGGGCTACCTGTCGATGACAACACGGCCGAGTGAGTCCCGACGAATTTTTCGAAAAATAATCTTCCGGGTGATCTGGCGATTCTTTTTTTTTTTTTCATGCGTTCTCGTTTCCCGATCGCGCGCACGTTCTCCACGTCGCCGAGTCGCTCTTGTAATCGGAATCTACCGGAGTTTACTCGTCCCGTCGATATTTCGTTCGCACACCCTCGTCGGTATTTCTCGTCCCTGCCTTATAAGGCTATATGAATTTTGAAACGGAAACTTTAATTCATAAATCGCGCTTGAGGAGAATCGTCGTTGGAACAATGCGCGGATATACTTGAGACGGTTATATCGCCGATGTATTTCATCGTTTATGCTTTCGGGAACCTTTTAAATTTTGGTTACTTTGTAACAAATTTAAAATAAGCCATATGTCACGTATATATTGTTACGCATTTAATAACAATAGTATAGAACCGTGTTGTGTTTTGCTCTGTTTGTTGACAATTTATATTCATGGAAACGGGCAATGAACCGTAAGTTTGTAATTATGTGTGATTTTTTATTACTTTATAATTATTTTATTTTTATTTTATTGTAAGAACATTATTTGTACATGCATCACGATGTTATTGGCAATCTGACACTTTTGCATTCTCTTGTTGTCCTATTGAACACAAGATGCTATATTTGTTACAAATTTAGTTTCGATGATGTCTATATGTATACCAAATGTATTACTCATACTATCCTACTATATATACTCCACCTGCTAGCAAAATTCAATAGTAAAATTGGCACATGTGCCTACATATCATTTTGTTTATTAGTAAAATTGTTAAGTCTCAGAAATAGTAACGCTAATGTAATTTATTGTCAGTTCTATCTTTATATTCGACAAGAAGTATTATTTAAATAATATAGTTGTATAGAGTCATAGAGTGGTATAGAATTGTACATAATTGTATAAAGCAGAAAAGTATATAATTTGAGGGATATATATAATATAAAAAGGATGTGTGTGTATGTGTATTCATAATGTACATATGTGTATATATATTAGTAAGTACGTATTTATATTTACAGGCGTATCCATCATGCCAGTTCAGATGAAATTTATATGCGAATTCATCAAGGTCAAGATGATGCGTTACTTGAGGATCGTGCTACCTTGGGACATCCCTTCGAAACTGTCATGATTGAAAGTATAGAACCAGATATTAATCAGAAGCATATCAATCGTTACAATTGCCAATACGAAGGCTGCACCAGAACATATAGTACCATTGGAAATTTGCGTACTCACATGAAAACACACAAAGGTAAAGTTCTAGAGTAATTTTTTACAGAGAATCAATATATACTTTATGGGATTTTTAATAATAGATGTGATAAAATTAGAATAGAGAACTTTCATGACAAAATGTCTAACATATAATTTATTTTGAAAAATATAACTTGATAAAAATGATCATAAATATATAATCCGCACGAATATAGAAAACGGGCTAATTAAGAACTAAGCGTGGTAAATAATGCGCGAAAGTTTTATTTTTATTTCTATTTTACATATCTTTCAACCTTGACTGCGTGCCGACTAAATTTGTCAGACTTCAAACACTTGAGATATGTAAAATAGAAATAAAAATAAAACTTTCACGCATTATTTACCGCGTCTGGTTCTTGATTAGCCCGTTTTCTATATTCGTGCGGATTTCCATTGAAACCTATACTTCGAATTATAAATATATAATTATTCTTTATATATTTTTCAGTTTATATTTAATATTTTTTAAATCTTTCATCCTGTTCAGAATATTCATCTCGGCAATGAAGTTTTATTATATCATTAGGCCTGTTCTTTTTAGCTGCACTTTTTGCACGGTTCAACGTGAAAAGAAAAAGAGGAAAGATAAACCGTGCAAGAAGTTCAGTTAAAAAGAACAGGCCTGTTTATGTTGTCTCATTTATAAATTGTCTGACCTGATATCATTATAATCATCATGCTTTGCATGTTGTGCTTGTCCAATATGCAGTTTGTTCAATATGCTATACTAACAAATTGTATGTGCTTTTGTTTTTGCATATTCCATGGGTGAAAGTATCTAGGTAAGTTTAAAAGCTACATTATCACGTGTTGACACTAGCAATAAAAATATGTTCACATATTTCTCTGCTGCAACTGATATTATTAATTCATCAATGCTGGCATAAAGGGAACGCTTTGACCTGCATGGCTTTCAGATACCGCAAGAGATAGATAGACCTGCAAACTTTTTATGCGGAGGGAATTCTCAAAACTTTCAGGCGAGTATCGATTTAAATGCGCAGAGCCGAGTTGTGGCAAGGCCTTTCTCACGTCCTACAGTCTAAAGATCCACATTAGGGTACACACAAAAGTAAAACCATTTGAATGCAATCACAAAGGCTGCGAGAAAGCGTTCAATACCCTTTACAGACTGAGAGCTCACCAAAGACTTCATAGTGGCAACACATTCAACTGCGAAGAGACTGGATGCGTTAAATTCTTTACTACTCTAAGCGATCTCAAGAAACATATACGTACTCATACTCAAGAAAGACCGTACAAGTATGTTTTTCGATTACTACCTATGATATTAAAAACAAAAAAGACATTACAAAAAAATCATTATTTCGAACACGTTAAATAAATCGACAGAAAAACAAATCATAAAACTCGGCTAATTTAAAAGAGTTATTACACATTGTATATTTTACAAATATTTAGGATTATCATTTCTCGTTTATTTTAAGATGCAGAGAAAAGGGTTGCGGAAAAGCCTTTACGGCTTCACACCATTTAAAAACGCACAAGAGGACACATACAGGCGAACGGCCGTACGTTTGTACCTTTGAAAGTTGTAAACGACGTTTTACTACTCCTCATAGCTTAAAGAGCCACATAAAAACACATAACAAAACTGTGAATAATGATACGGTAAGTATTAATAATAGAGGTATTAACAATAGAGTATCTCACATTAAGCATGTTAATCTTAATTTTTTAATTTTACAGAAACATAAGAATAATAGAAGTAATGATGTGGCTGAGAAGCAGAAGAAGTTAACTCAATTAGAATTGAAACTTGTAAAGGTTAGCGCAAGCAACACCACTATACCATCGTACACTGTCATACCAATATCCACAGATCTTATGCAAAATGATGGAAACATGCCATATGTGCCTGCGAAAAATTTAGCAGAACAAGTAACTTCCACTAATGTAATGGATATTATGACTCATCGCAAGTTGGATGCAAAGCTCGGTTATATTTCTACCAAAGACGAAGAAGCCTCGAATGGAACTACGGGAGTTGCGCTTCTTGCAACGGATATCGTTTTAGATAATTTCAACGAACACGCAGTCAACGTTTTTAACAATAATGAGAACTATAACGAATTTAAAGTATTTAATCAAATGACTGAATCAAATGCGCAGCATGATAATTTAATGGATGTAGTCGGGCATCAGAATCATCCGCACAAGTCAGCTTCGTTACCAGAAGCGCACAGTGACAGTATAACTAGACAGGATCAATCTATCCCGATAAATTTAGGACAGAAGATTATGCAAGATGGTTTACAAAATGCGATAGCACACATTTCTGAGGGGACAAGTTTCACGAATAATATGAAACAGTTTAAAAATAAACCTATTACTGGTTCTGACGATGTATTTACAAACCGGTCAAATGCAGAAAATATATCTGATAACAGCAGCAATGCGTTATACGATGCCAATTGCATTACTAGTCATATTACTGATATTATAAGTTCCTCGAACGAAGCCCACCTTTTCGAGAGCGGAATGGATTCTCTCTCGTTCATAAATGACACAAATTTGCAAAATGAGTCTCTTATTGCGGCTTCAAATCATGATTTGCACGCGAACGCTGTTACAAACGCTCAGTCCGAAGCCGTTGAACTTGCGATAGCGACTGAAGAGGAATTACCTTCTTCTTGGATAGATGTGATGGCATTAGCAACCGCACCCGCATTGAGAGCACAATCTTGGTCAGAATTAAATGCCTTTCCCACCGTTCATTCTCTAGTGGATTTAGTAGGTCCAGAGCCTTATCCGCTAGAGATGGAGACTCAATTACCTACGGAAAACTTGAAAAATGTCGACGCGATGAATACGCAGCACACTTCGGCAAACGTCGATATACAAAGCCAAAAAATTGCAGAATATGAACATAAGACAGGTAATGTAAAGAACAAGGATAGAAATATTCTTCAGGAGATCACGGCAGATGCTGATATATGTAAATGTATTGATTGTAAATGCGACAACTTACAAAATTGTCAAAACTGCACAAATAACCCGGCGGAAGTAACGAAAAAAGACACGGCACAAATCGTAAACGACTTTGTGTCATCTTTGCAAAATAAATGTTCCTGCAACGCCGAGTCCGGTGGTTGTGATTCTTGCTGTGTTGTAATCTGTCTAAAGACATTGCAGCAGCTACAAAAAATATTTAGCAACTGTTGTAAGAATACTAGCAATGCTGCTACAAATGCATGCTGTAGGGAAAAGTTGTTACCATCCTTGATGAAATGTCAACTAGCCAAGAATCAGTGATTCATAAATATTCTTTACTAATTTTAACTAGTCACGCAAAAAATAATGCTGTATCTCTATGCTAATCCCCAAAAAAGATTTGTGATTTTACACCCGATAGCTTTAAATATTAGGCAACTTTTGCCTTTCGAATATTTTATCTAGGACGAATTGAGAATATGCGACTGTACATATACATGCTATATCTGAGAGTCTGTTAAAGAGATTCTGCATATTCTATATACATATAATGTATTCTATGCATTATTTTGTGCCAAATATTTGTAGACTTTTTACAAAAGTGTTTATACGTATAAAATTACTGTTGCATAATTTATAATAATAAACAAAATGTCCGCAATTTCACATTGATTGTTCACAAACGTAATTTAAAAAGAAAATTGACAATTGACAATATAGGTACATATGCAAGGAATGCAAGGAAAAATGCGTACTATACAATTATTTTTATAAAAATAGGTTACTTTGACATAAACAAATAATGTTTTATAAATATATCTGGTTTCATAATTTTTTGTGCAACGCAAAAATGAATAGATAGTATACTTTTTTGATATTTAAATTACACAAGTATGCTGCTTCTTATATAGTTTTGATCTATAAGTCAACATGTTATAATATTGCTGAGAAACTTGTCACAAATTTAAGAGTGTTAAAATATGTGCAGCATATTAATGATATCTTCTTTTTTAATTTTTATTTATATAAATACAAGAATAATGTAATAGTTGTATGTTTAAGAATTTTATTTATTTAACTCGTGAATGTTTGTTTCCAGATCATATAGCGTTAACCCTAGGAATATTATTTTACTTTATTGTTAATATACGCGATATCTCCGAGAAAAAGCTTTTGCTAGTGTACGTTAGTAAAGGAGAACTTGATATTTCCTCAGTTAATCAGGAAGTGCCAAATACTTATAAACATCTAAAGTATTTATAATGTTACTGCTATAACGTTACTAAGTTTTAGGTTTCAACTAGAATTTAGTATTTTATGTTGCATTATTGTAATGAATAGATTGGAGAAATGTTAATTTTTAACAATTTTAGCGTGGAAATTTTTATGGCTGTTACAAGTACTTGCAATAAAATCAATGTACCTAAAATAGCTTGTAAATAACAGCATATTTATTATGTTGTTAATGAACAAATATAAAAGCTAACTCAATAAAGAATCTATAACAACTATCTTCTATACTTCCTTCTTTTTACATCTATATTAATTTTAATGTAAAATAAAATTTGGCACAATGTTTTTAATTAAATAAATATACGTGATTTAACACATTTTTATTGTTGTTATACTGTCATACAACAATATATTATGACAAGATTGTGTTGAACACATGCCTCTTTCTAACTGATAGCGTGTCGAGGTATATATATGTATATATATGTAATTCCATATTATTTATATATATATATATATAACACTTATTGTGTAGCTTGCACGAGAGCTTCTGCAACTTCAACAGCAATACTTGCTTCAGCCTTATCTACGTCCGACGATGCGGAGGAAAGCTGTTGTTGAGCTTTGTTAAGAATATCTCTTGCTGCCGAGTTGTCAAGGTTTTCTACTGGATGGGCTTCTTCTGCTAGAATCTACAGAATAACAAGCTGTTTTAGAATGTGATGAAAAAACTTAATATACTGAGCTTGCTGAAACTTTGACATATACCTGTACACTGCCATCCTCATTAATGGTAACGGTACCAGAGGAGACGAAAACTTTCTTGGTCGAACCATCCTCTTCGTAGATTGAAACTACACCAGGCTTCAAGACCGCCAGTGTAGGCACGTGCTTTGGTAGAATGCCAAAGGAACCCGAGAAGGAAGGTACATCGACTTGACGGATTGCAGCCTGATCGTAGAACACCTGGTGTCCAAGAAAGAGGATATTAAACATCGCACAATCACGATACTTCATCACTCCCTGCAATTTTCATTCAATTATACCTGATTAGCACCCGCGAACGTAAACTTCATTTGATTACCGGCCGCGTCTGCGTAGGTTCTCCTCTGGCTGCGGACGCATCTCAGGAAAGGGCGTAAAGTGCGAGCGAGGTTGGACATTTCGGCACACTGAAAACGATTGATCTTTTTTTTCACAGACAGAAATACGTCGCCCTTTACATTAGTGACAACGGCGAGGCTGTTACATCACAAGTACGGGATACTACGGGATATCCGGATAACCTAGTATAACCTCATTTTTCTAGCTCTTGCTGCTGTACGACGGGGTGCGAGCGGCCTCGAATTTTCGCATGAGGTCTCACGTTCCTCGTTCGCAATAAGATTATTGTGCTCACCGTGTGCGATTGTCTGTATCCTGTGTTTAAAATCCTGCGAGTATCATAAATGTGTTGCAGGAGCGCAGGTGATTCTCGCGACTCGAATCAACTGGGATCGACCGCGCGTAACGAAGCGGTCGATAACGAGATTCGGAAATTGTGCCGCAGATGCCGTTGACGTCGCTTCAGGAATAGAGTTCCTTAGGAACTCTATTTAGGAATACATTGCACTATTTGTTGCACATTCCCGCCACTTTCTGCATTTAGAATTTATAAGACTATTTAGGCTGCGTTCGGAAACGTCACCCGAGTGCACACGAGATCCCTTCTTTTTCTATCTCAGCGAGTTAGAAGGAGAAGGGAGTATACCCGTGTATACTCGGGTGACGTTTCCGAACGCAGCCTTTAGAGTGGAGTGCTGAGTAAAGTCAGAGAAGCCTGAGAGAGGGTCCATCCCCAGGGGCTCGATTCTTGAATTCATTCGCAAGAGAAACGTATGCGAAAATTCTGCTCTTACAGAATTAAACGTTGCAAGTTGATTGGCTAAAAGCTATGCGATAGCCAATCGACTTGCAACTTTTTTGTAAGAACAACATTTGTGCATACGTTTCTCTCGCGAATGAATTCAAGAATCGAGCCCCAGGTCTTTTTTTCATGGGACCGTCGAAACTCCCTGTACATACATAATTGGAGGGGTTAAAGCCATAGTCGCGTGTAAGTCACTTTTTTTAACCTATCGAGTTAAGTTCATTATAGATGCAGTCTACACATGCAGATATGTTGAAAAAAGAAGAAAAAAAAGTGGTAAAAAAAATTGACTTACACCACTATGGCTTTAACCCCTCCAATATACATTAGCGACAGTATATCCATTTTCGAAATTAGGAATAGCCACGTTTATTTTCCGACACTGCCGACATAAAACATCATTTTGGTGCTACATCTGCAAATCGCGCGGTTTCATTTGATAATGTACAATTTAATTTCATTTAATCTGGTACTAGTATTAAGGAAAAGGTATATGTATATAAGCAATATTTTAAAGGCCCGTCCTGCTTGTACCGAATGTCATTGCGATTAAATGCATTTTGGACTTCGCATTTTCTTAGTTATAAATTAAATATTAGTTATTTTTATCTTAGATTTTAACTAACATCCGCTAGAAACAGGTCAACTTATAGAGGCCTTCCACCGCCCCCGCCAATTTCGATTGGCGGTCCTCTTTTATTTACAATACGTTTTTTTTTCACATTTCCATCATTTATTTTATTTCTCTTACAATTTACTTTACGACATTATAAAAGAGTTATTATAATATACATAATTTAGTTACATAATGTACACAATTTATAGGT